AAGAGCATCCCAAAGCCAATAGGACCCGCTTTGAAACTGCCAAAGACCTACTCGGTGGCCTAGCGAAGACGAGGACCAAACCCTAGAACAGCACCTCACGTCCAACTCGAACCACAACCTCAACACCAATCCACTCGGGAACCACCACTGAACCGAACCCTCTAACACCACTAGAGAGACCAAGTCCGACAGAGCCCAGTAACCCTCGAGCCACAGAGCATGGAAACAAGGGAAGCAAAAAGGATGTTGGGACTGCTGGCTCAGCCCCCGACACACCCGGACCGCCAATCAGCACTGTTCACCTTCCTGAGCGGCGATTAAGCAGGTGCCGACGACCGGCTTTGGGCCACCCGGCCCTCATCCATTAATTCGTGCCTCCTTCTGCTTCTATGCTTGGGTGTGCTTCGGGTTTCGATCAGGCTTCGGCGCCGATTTCGGTTCAACTCGATGGCTTCTCAGGCGTTGGTGGTTGGGGTTGGGGTGCGTTTCGTTTGGATGGGAGTAGCCTCGGTCTTTCGACGACGTTAGCGTTGGATGGCTGGAGCTCCACCGTGTTTCTCGGCTTTGCTCCCTGTCTCTGGTGTTGGGGCAGGGCGTCCATTGCTCCGTCTCCAGCCAGTGGTGTTGTAAGTTAAAAAATTATTATAATATAACACAAGTAAGTCGCACAAGTAAAAGTGTCATACTAAATATAATAATATAAATATTCTTAAAATATATTTAAATTTTCAACCACATGTTTTCAGTAATTTTACATTTTAAGAAAAAAAAATAGCAAGCACCCGTGTAATACACGGGCGTTGTACTAGTATGTATATATATATATATATATATATATATATATATATAATTGATAGCAAAGAATTTATTAGAAATCTTTCTCTTTTCCAGTCTTTTTCCATTACTTTTTTATTAATCAAGCAGTTATATTATTTATTTATTGTAATATATAATTGCTACTATTAACTAATAATAAAATCACGAGAAATGTTATTATATTCCATACATTTTTCAATATATTTATCTAAAACTATTATTTCTTTTTTCTTTCAACTCATTAAGCAATTTTTTTATTAAAATAGTTTATTACTTTTTATGGTATAAGCAAACACTTTAACCTTTCGTACACAATTGTTATAAATAATAATTTGAATATTCATAATCATCTAAGATTGTATCTGTATAAAGATTAATATGTAAGTTGTTTATATCTATATTGTTCATTTTTACAAATGATAAAAATTATTAAAATAAAAAATGATTTACTCATTATCTAACTTATCATTTTAAATATTATATAAACACACATATGATATATAAAATTTAATTTGTATGTACTAATTTATGTAACTACAGCCAAGTACGTCTCATTTTTCCCCTTATTACTTGAGATTTCATTTTGTAGTACATGTGTGTAAGAAAGTAAATAAATTTCAGTAAGTCATTTTCCCTTATGCTATCCTCTCTATATATAATTTCCGAATGCGTTGAGTCTACGTGGCTGCTTCTGGTGCTTCAGAATCCTACTTGACGAAGCATCATGCTTCGTAATTAGGTTTGGACAAATAATATTGATATATTAATAATTAATAATCTAGGTTCGGACATTCCATAAATATTATTTAGCTAACTTAAATATTTTAATATCACGTGTACTAATATAACCCTTTAATTCTTTGTAATTTTACATAGTGAGCCACTAAGTGACTAATATATCCGTGACATTTGATTTGTTTACTTCAATTAGCTATTGAATTATAAATGTATTTTAAAAGTTGACAACTTTTGTATTTCTTATTAGTTTTACATATATAATATATCAAATTAATCATCTTTTGATGATCTTCGATTTGACATCCATATTGTATATATGAAATAAATAAATTATATCTATCTTTATAATAATAAAAATAATAATATCTATTAAAATTCACTAGAAAAATAAAATTATTTATCAATTGATATATTTATGTTTAATGTAGTTATATGTTGTCAGCTAAAAAATTATTATAATATAACATACGTAATTCGCACAAATATAAGTGTCATACTAAATATATAATAATATATATATTTTTATAAAAAGTATTTAAATTTTCAACTACTTTTTTTCATTAATTTTAGATTTTAAGAAAAATAATTAGCAAGCACTCGTGTAATACACGGGCATTGTACTAGTAAATACATCATATTGCATATAGTAGTGTATATAACACTCATATTGAGTGGGATCCACCAAAAATAAAAAATCAAATGGACTGCATTCCGTGTGAGTGTTATGTACACATCTATGTACATTTACTATGTACTTTTAGCATTTTATTTTCTTCATTAACACAATATCTTATAGTCACCTTATTTTACTCTTTGCCTCAAAATCATACATTAGGTAGAAGGATCACATATTTAGTTCAAAAGAAAATAATTAAATAAAGAAAACTGTAATGATCAATTTCTAATCTATAAATAAAACTGAAATTCCCCAAAATAAGACAAAAAATCTATATAGCAATTGGATGACTCTATTATGGAGCCATTCATAACTTTATGTACTGACACATGTCAAATGTGCATTTATTGCAGGATACGTGTCAATACATTATTTGTGAATAACAATGGACTAGTACTAATACCCATGTACTGTTGGGTTCGACATACTGTACGGAACAGAATATGCAGCGGAATTTTAAAATTTTAATTTAGTAACTTTTACTAAATAATGAGTAACGATATAACGGATAAGCATCATTTACAATCTAGTAACTTTTACAGATTTTAATTTGTAAGATAATTTCGAAAATTACCTTTTTATCTCCTCCTCGTCGTTATTTCTAGAAATCAATTTCCGGTTTGAACTCGTCTCGCTTTAGGAATCCAATTCTTCCCTCTAATCGAGTCCACCTTTTGAAATCCAACACCGATAACCTCTTTCTTCGCTAGTAGAAAAGTATCAGTTTTGATAGAGGAATATTAATTAGAGGATTTTAATTGGGAGATATTTTTTTTATTATTTAAGAACTCCTTAAATTTTTATCTTGAAGAACAATTCTTCTTTTTCTCTCTTTTTCAACTCTTGAAAAATTTCAAGACTTAGCTTTTATGTGCAAACATTTTTCACCTATTTATACTAAACATTTTAGCATTAAATAATAAACATTTGGTAATTATTTATTTTAAATAAAAGAAGATTTTATTTATATTATCATACCAAATATTGACTTTTAATTAATTATGTGAAGTGGTTCATAACCACCATCAACCACTATTATTTTGTCTTTTCATTATTTTAATGTTTAATCATATTAAAGATAAAATAATAAAAATAATAATTCTTGAAAATATTTTTCAAGACTTTATATAAATAATCTTTCTCCCAATTATAATATTATTCTTTTTATAATAATCATATTATTATTTTGGATTTAAATTTTAAAATTATATTTTAAAATCAAACTATTAATTTAGTAATTACATTAATTACTTATTTAATATCCAAAATTTAATTAATCAATCCAATTGATTAATTTATAATATTCCTTTAATTGACAACTAATTCATAATTAGATAATTAATTAAATAATCATATTATTTAATTAATCTTTATCAATTAATTTCAACTCTTTAGAAATATCACTTTAACTTGTTTTCATTCAAAGATTGGTATGACCTTTTAGGTTCACTATTAATAGTAGTAGTGGGCTTAGAACTTACTTGTAATTTGAATTAATCATATTAATTCTTATTCTTGAAATTAACCCTTTAATTTCAAGAACCCACAAATCATGGGAACACCTAGCAAGTAGCATGATCACTTATTATTAAGTGAATAGCGAGTAAACCTTTTCAATTACAATTACATACATGTAAAATCCTTTCGACAACTAATTTCCCGATTAAATCATGGGTATGGTTTTTAGTCGAAACTCATATTGATTTATTAACTATGATTTCATTTCAAGGACTTCGAATCACAAACTATGAAAAACATAGGAAATTCACTCATCTCATAAGTGTTGTCAAATCCTCTGTTGGCCACTAACAAATGTCCATACATATTAATACAATACCCAAAATATCCCTTTATTGATTGTCTTTGCAATCAAAGGATAAATTAAAGTAAAGTACAATATGCACAAGAATACCATTGTGCCTCAAGTCTAAGGATCAATCATGTTTGTAACATAAAAATTCTTATTCGACAAGAAACACTTCCATTTAAGAATTTTCATACGGTCATGTTCAATGAACTTGTTCCCTAACAAGCATCCACATATATATACTTTCATCACATGCTAATGTTGATGGAATGCAACATTCTTATCTCATAAGCATATATCATATGTGCAAGTCTTACCGGGTTATTCGATATCCTATCTCGAAATACTTAACGACTTGGAACATTATTTAAGATCACAGCTTTAAAGACATGTTCTATGATTACCATCTCTATGTGTAACCATGTCTTTGTAGCTTATTATGATCTAAGGACTTTATCATATATATATATATATATAAATATAATATAAAATGCTTATACATAATATAAATTAATGCCTCGTACAATATATAAATACCATTAGATTATATAATCAAGTAGAATAGATCCAATCTGATTGGAACGCAGGGTATTCTACTCTAACATGTACAACATGGGTATTGAGCAAAGTTTTTGATCGCGAGCTATCAAATTTCGCGTTTGGCTGATCTGGGCGCTATTGCCGCTATAGCGGCGCTATCACCGCGCTATAGCGGCAGCTATACGCCGCAGCATTGCATTGTTTTCCCCGCTATAGCGCGCTATTTTATTGCAAACAGCTACAGCTATAAAAGCAAAGGCATAAAAGCAAATAAGTTCACAAGTCACAATTCACAACCAGCCTCCAGCCATAAAGTTGATTAAATTCACAATTCTTAACAAAACAAACAGTCGTGCATGAAGGCATCTAGCACATAAGCATCCACAATTCCACATTGGCAGCCAAGGCATCTAGAGCAATGATCTAGTAAGGACTGTATGGTTTAACAACTACATCCTCAGAACCAGAACTAGATAGCATATCAATATCATTATCATCTTCTCCATCAGAAGATGGAGATGACTCCTCATGCTCAAATGTAGGGATTAGCCCCTTTCTGTTCTTGCTCTTTAAGGTTTTCTTATTTCTTTCTACTCTTTGAGGTGCAACTACAACTCCTTGTGATAATGCTCTAGTTTTTTCTTCCTGCTCTAAATCTTCTTCTGTTGGCTCAATGCCAGTGATCTCGTTATCTTCATCTTCTAAAGCATTATGGATAGGTTTCACAATGGGATCTCTATTCTTTTTTTCTTCTTTTGCCTTAGTTTTGAGTTGAACTTGACAAAAACAAGATCCCTCATTCTGTCATGAAGGAGCCTGTTGCGTCTCTTTGTGTGGACCTGCATAGGTTTGATCAAATAATTGATTTCATTATTTATTTATATGAACTCCAGCATAGAAATCACAATTTACAATTAGTAAGTTTAAGTGACAAATTCATACTTGTTCATATAAACTCCAGCATCTTTCACAAGCTGATGAACTGCATGTCAAACTTAGAATTCTAGCAGCTAACTTTATGAGGTTTGGTGCACTAATTCCATGATTCAACCACCATTTAGCTAAATTACAAAAAAAAAAAAAAAATAAAAAATAAAACACAGGACAATGTAAGATATTATGTACCAACTCCAAGACTTAGTGCACTGGCAGCTAACACTACTCATCAGTTTTCTATTTTAAATTAATCATACCTGGATCAAAATTGATATTTTTCCACTGCCTTTTAGCAATTTCTTTGCCAAAGGATCCTTTAGCATCTTGAAACAGTTGAAGCTTTTCAATAATTTTGTCTTGAGTCTCTTCATTTGGAACAAGCTTGGTAATGCAAATGATTACACCATCTCTAAATGATTCATTCTCCTCCATAGCCTACTTGTTTTGATAATAATAGAAAGGGTTAAAGTAGTAACCAGCCCTATGTAAAGGTGTCTTTAGCTTACTGTCCCACCTTTTGTCAATGATGTAAAAAACATCCTCAAACTTGCTCCTGTCATTGTTAAACCTCCTAGAGATCTCATTCTTAGCTTCTACTAGATAACCATACCAGAACCCCATGGCTGGAACATCACTATCAATTCTCCTCAACACAATAGCTAATGGCTCAAAGTAATGAACAACAGTCTCAACTCCTTTCCAGAAAGTTTTAAATTTGACTACATTGTTTGCTTTCTTCCCTTTGGCACTTTTTAGGTAACCGAGTTCACTGAGCTCATCATCCCTAAAAAGCCTCTGCAATTCTTTCTTGTTTTCTAGTAAGCTCTTCAAGTTGTGATAAGCTGTTGCAAACCTTGTAACACCACACCTTACCAAATCTCTAGAAAGAAACTTCCTCATTAGGTCTAAAACTCTAGTATAGGCATATAGAAAAACAGTCAAGCACTTTGCTTTGATGATTGTTGCTGCAACTCTTGGCATCTTTCCTATATCTTCCAACATTAGGTCAATGGTATGGGCAATACAGCCATTCCAAAAAATTGAGGGATGTTTTGCTTTCAACAAACTTGCTGCTGCCTCATTCGGTCTTGCATTGTCAGTTACAACTTGAACTACATTTTGCACCCCTATCTCTTTAATACATCTATCAACCTGGTCAAAATGTACCTGCCATCCTTCTTCACAGCTGAGCAATCCACTGAATCAAGAAAACAAACACCATATGCACTATAAACTACAAAATTCATTCAAATTCAGAATAAACGATCTAAGAACAAGTAAACACCATTTTAATTGTCTCGATAGTCTCGCCGACTGGATCAGATCAGACTAAAGAATCCAAATAGAATTTTAAATAAACAAATGTGCGATATGTAAGATCAACCAAACTCTTAAGCGACTAATTCTTTAGAACTCGTTTGGCTTGCTGGAACTCGCAATGGAACTCTCTTCCTCTCTCCTCACTGGCAGGGTAAGAGAAAGAGAAGCAAGATTATGCTAATTATTCTATGCTCGTCGTAACCCTCTATTTTTTTTAAAAAGTATTGGCGTACAATAATTGATAATGGCTAACGAGTTCTCACAGTCAGGCAATTCCACAGGTCCGCCCTTACTGAAGCCAGTTAGTCCGGCTGGGGAGCTACATTTTCCATGAGGAAGAATAAAGGGGTGGAGGTGAAAAAAGGAATCCTTTGCTCGGGGCCAACCAAAAGGAAAGTCGGTTTCCTTCCAAAAATTGTTTCATCACACCTCTACCTCTCTTGTCTGTCCAAGCATCTGTCATAACTGTGCATCCATTTAGCTCCCAAGACTATTGGTGAGACTTCAATATCTCCTGCACTTTCCTCTTCTTTTTTTGTAAGAATTTCCCACTCATCTCATCTGGAGTTGGCCCTCTCAAGTTTCTGCCAAAGTCTCCAATAGCCTCAAGCATAAGAACAAAGTTAGGCAGTGTCACTGTGTTGTGTGGGATACCTGCTTCATAAAAGAACTGACAGATATACTCACATGCTCTGTCTCTTTTCTCTTTCCTTTTTTCAGTTGATATCTTGGACTGGACCTTTTCAGCAACACCAGATTTGCCCTTCCTTGCAGCCACTACTTTTTTTGGTGTCATTTTACAGTACTTGTCCATAGGACCCCCTGAAGAAGCACCTTTGCTTGTCACCTTCTTCAACACAACAACTGAATTTCCATCAACATCAATGTGTTCCTCTCCTTCAGAATGGCTCAAATCAACTTCAACTCTATCATCTTCTTTCTCCCTATTCTCCCTTTGCTTGTTATCGATCTTCTTGGACAGTAACTTAATCATTTCTTCTTTCACATCAGATGGAACTTTAGTACACATTGCAACACCATATTTAGGAACATTACCAAGGTGGTATTTGATTCTGGTTATTCCACCATGATAAATGTTTTTACAGTAGTTGCACTTCAGAGAATTTTCTTGTTCACATCTGGCATTGTGCAGTGCTTCCAAGCTGTGTCAGATGCTTCAGCAAGAGTATCATTTAATTTTTGTAGTTGGGCGGTGGATGCAGTCCTAGATAAGCCTACAGTAGTTAAATTGGAAAAGAACATATTTTCAAAAAAAAAAAACACATAGACAGTACTACAGATTGGAGAAGAACAGGGCCACAGAGGAGAAGATCTTGCCTACTGTTGCCGCTGGACTTGTATTGTTGTCACTCGGAGAAGCCATTGTTGGTCGCTTGCTAGTCGCAACAACTGCAGGAAATCAGGAGAAGAGCTTGCCCCCCGCCGTCGTCGCGCAACATCAGCGCTCATTTGCCTGTCGCGCACTTGCAGTGCTCGCGCGTTGCTGAGATGCCGCTGCATCGCGCTCGCCCGCTGTCGGTCAGCCGTGCTCGCCCACAGCCACCGCCGAAAAGCCCTACGCGCAGCTGCCGTGGTGAAGACTCGAATGGACTATTGCCCTGCTGAATGACTAGGGTTCACTTTAAGCCTTGTTGCCTAATTGGGCTGGGCCACTTTTTTTTGGTAATTATTGGGCCACATTGGCTGTTTTTGGGCCGGCCAGCTATAGCAGCAATTTAGCGCGCTATAACGCCAATATCGCGTATAGCGTAGAAATGCAAGATTGCATCGCGTTTGTTGGTTTGAGCCGCTATAGCGTGCTATTTATTTCTTTGGTATTGAGTTAATGAATATATGTGTAAAATTATTTATGTTTAATACCAAACTTAATTCAAGAGCAAAAATAATATAAAAACAATATCACGAAGCATAGATTTTCGCCCATCTGTAATATAGGCTCAACACGTTTTGAATTAATATATAGGGCTGGATAACTCCATAAGCCGATCCATCTGATAGCTTCGTAGCAAAACCGCAAAAAAAGATACGACAGAGTGGAGAGTACAAACAGTTTGCTCCATAAATTGCTTCATTTTTTTATTTATTATTTTTTTTGTAGTGATTTTTCTTATTTTTCACAACAGTACAATTTCATACCTAACATCCTGACCTGGATTAGTATCCAAACATTCGTAGTCAAGACCAATTCTATGATTGACAAAAAGAGGAGGAATAATAAGTTCTTGATTAGTAGTTTAACTAGAAAATTAAGTTTATGCATATTTTATATTGCTTTGATGATGAAATCAAACTATTTTAATTGATTATTTAATCATGGCACAAGAACGCTCGTGTCCACCGACAGAAATACAATTGGTGCCTCAGACGCAGGCTGCCTAGTCAGAGTTCTCAATTATACAGCTTGAAAACGGGCTCCCCTTTAGAAAATGAGATAATCAAAGAATTAGAATGAAGGTAAAATGACGACCACCAAAGAAACCCTTGCGACTTTGAATGCTGGTATTCATCCGATTGATCCCAAACTCGACCCGACCGACCGTGGTGATCCATATTTTCCTGCTTTACACAGAGCCAATCCACTATTATCTGAATCAACTCGATTCCTAAAACGAACCCGTACTTGTGAGCTCTCTTGCAAGCCGTCTGATGGTGTTAACGTATAGACCCAAAGGTCGCCGATGCCAATCCCCCGTTTGAGCTTTCGGGATATGTTGAGTAAGAATTGGGCCCATGTTGAGATGAGCTATATTGACGATGAAGACGAGAACCTTGATGAGGATGTAACTATTGACTATAAATCCGACGGACCAGATATCAAGATGAAGATATCCTTTTATGATTCTCTGCTCATGACTTGGAAAAATGTGGTTATCATCAAGGTCATGGAAACAACAATCAGTCCTCACCTTCTCTATAGCAAATTGGTCAGATTCTGGCTTTTTATGACGAGCTGTAACATGATTGACTTGGAGAATGGATACTTTCAGATCTGGTTTAACACGCACGAGGAGGCGGTAAAGGTGCTGGTGGATGGGCCTTGGGTTATATCCAAGCAATTCAAGAAATTCTATGTGCACGTGCAATCTTGGAGTGATGACTTTGACGAGACGTGCAATAAAATTCATTCTCTAGTCACATGGATACACTTATCGGGAATGTCGGTTCACATGTATCACAAAAAAGTGTTTTGGGTCATCGGGAACATCGTGGTAAAAGTCGTAAAGATTGACCACCAAACCCTCTCACAATCTAGGGAAAAGTTTGCTAGGCTAGCAGTGGTCCTCGACCTCACAAAACCAGTATGCGCTCGCTTTACTATAAGGGGAAAACTGCAATGCGTAGAGTATGAGAATTTATTGGACATTTGCTTTGAATGTGGAAAGTATGGGCACAGATCTCTAGCATGTCATGAACGTCCTAAGGAGACCAACGAGGATGAAACGGCGGAGGAAGGTCCTAACGGTAACCACACAACACCAGGAGGCCAGACCTCGAGATATGAGGAGAGTGTAAAAAAAGCGACACATGATCAAGAAGACAGACTTTATGGACCATGGCTATTGGCCAAAAACAAAGGGATCTCAAGGCAGTAGGGTAATAAACGGGAATCATACCGCCCAAAAATTGATACTCCCCTCAGCGGGTCACGTTTTAATTTGTTGTCGGAGGACAATGGGGATAAGGATAATTCTGTGGACGAATCCTTTCCTAGCAATTCATTCTCATTCTCAATTGGGGGAATAACTATGTTAAAACGCCTTTGGCACAAAGTACCGCTACATCAAATGGTGATACCTGGCCGGTAGTAGAGAGGAGGAAGTAGGATAAGGGGAAGGCAAGTTCCAGCACTCATGCTCACCAGAATTCTACCTTAAAGACCCCAGCAAAGAATGGGGCTGCCAGTACTCATCAGGCTTCTACTTCTAAGGCTCCAGCCAGTAATGGGGCTACTAATGAGGCCAGGTCTTTTTTGGGGATTTTAAATACGGGACACGGTGTGACTAAAACTGTTTCTTCGACTTGCATAGAGAGTGAGGCTCAGGCCCAAGTGTTTTTCGTGCCTGCGGGTAGTGGCCTTGACCCTATGAAACACCAGATAGCCCAAATATTCGATAGCCCATGTAAAAAAAACAATTGAAATTCCTCCGGTCAGATTGGGGTTGACATATCTAATAGTTCAACTATGGCTGTCGACTCGGTGACACTATGAACTTCTGACTCTCTGTCGGAGGACGTGGGTGACGAAGGGATAGATGAGAGAACTAGTGGCAGCAAGGATGTGATTATGATAGAGGATTCCACTCAGGACACGAGTGTCCCGAGTAGTATCTGACATGTGTCACTCTCTCGCTCATATCGTTATTTAATGAAGATAGTCACTTGAAATGTACAGGGAGCAGACTCGATTGCTTTTCGATAAGCTTTCTCTAACTTTATATGTGAATATTCAACAGATTTGGTTGTCCTCTTTGAACCACGAATTAGTGGTGGTGATGTTGATGTCTTTGTGAAACACAGTGGGTTTGACCGGTCGCTCCATGTGGAGTCGAGAGAATTTTCCGGTGGTATTTGGTTGTTATGGCGAGGGAGGGTAAATGCCACCATTCTAAGGTGTCACATCAATTTTTTCACACTTTAATCCAATTGGAGGATGTATGTTTTTCATCAACTTATGTGTATGCTAGTCGAAACTGCAAATTAGGCGGAATCTATGGGGGACTCTTAATAACATCGCGTCGTCGTTTTCGAGACTGTGGCTGATCAGTGGAGAATGAAATTGTTTGTTAAGGCCTTCTGAAAAGAGAGGTGGTTCGTCTTAATCTTTTAACGTGAGTGGAGATTTTAACGACTTGCTCTTTAATCATGGGCTACATGAGGTTCGCACTAATGGCTACTATTACACTTGGTTTCAGGGTGTTGTTGCCAAAAAGCTTGATAGAGCTATTGCTAATAAAACCTAGTTAGATAATTTAGAGCAGTCTGGTTTCCCACCTATCTAACTGTGACACGGGTACCCCTTACTTGAAAGGTCTAAAACCTTTGCGTTTTTTAGCATCTGGGTTAATGCATGAGGATTTTGATGGGTTTGTTACGAAGACATGGTCTGGGGTGAATACTTTTATAGGGGCAGCTAACCGGCTTTCGTCCTTGGCGAAGAAGTGGAATTATAATATTTTTGGGAACGTGTTTAAACGAAAAAAGAGTCTGTTAGTGAGGAATTTGGGAGTTCAACAAGCTTTGTAGAGTCAGGTCAATGATCGTTTGTTATCTCCAGAACATGAACTGAGTGCGGAGCTCGAAGAGGTTTCCATGCAAGAAGAAGTTCTCGTGATTCAAAAAGATCAAAGAGACTGGTCGTTGTTTGGTGATAGAACACAAAGTTTTACCACTGGAAGATTAAAGCTCAACGACGAAAAAATAAAATTGTGGGGCTTCTTGACAATGATAGAAATTGGTGTCAGGACCAAAGTAAATGATGGAGCCTGGCCATTGATTTTTTTCGTAGCATTTACTTGGTGGTGCACCAGACTTCTCAACCTGATCAAATCTTGAACCATTTTTCTTATGTTGAGCCTACCCTGGTAGCGCCCTTGGCAAGAGAAGTCTCGAATTTTGAAGTCACTATTGCTCTTCGGTCCATGCATCCTTTGAAGTCCTCGGGAGTAGATGGGCTTTACGCTATTTTCTTTCAACAAAAATGGGACATTGTGGGAGCCTCGGTTCGCCAATTTGTTCGTGAAATCTTACATGATGGGATCATGCCTTCACAAGTGAATAAAACCCTAATTGTTTTGATCCCGAAAGTGGATAACCCTCAAGCAATTACACAGTTCAGACCGATTAGCCTTCTTAATGTGGTGTGCAAATTGGTGACAATGATCTTGCTAACAGACAGAAACTTTTGCTGCCAAGTATTGTTGGGCCGACTTAAGTAATCTTTGTATCCGGGCAGCAAATTTTAGATAATATTATTATCGCTCAAGAGCTAGTGCACACGATGAGAACTGA